TTCATCGTCTATAGAGAGAAAAACAAACTTAGGGTCTAGCAGCCTTTTATCTATTTCTTTTGGTTTTTTATAAGATAAACAAATAATATAATATTCTGCGGATACATTTCTTGATGCTTTAGGTTTTGTTATATGTATATATGTAAATAGCTGCTGCAGTGTATATATTATATTTATATAATCTATAGAACGAAATATCTTCGTAATAAATATACCACCTATACGTAAATATATACAACATAAACGTAATGCATGCAACACCAACATATTCTGATTAAAAGCATCCAAGCCCCAATCTGTACCCATATTAGGGGAACCATCATGCAACACCAAGTCTGCTTCTCTCCCCTAAAAACAAACAAAAAAACAAATAAAATATATTTATTTATTTATTTATTTGTTTTTTATTTAATTAGTTCTTTATTAGCTATCTATTGATGTATTTATTTATATATTTATTTATTTTTTTATTTTTTTTTTTTTTTTATATTCATATACTAGGGGAACCATCATGCAGCACCAAGTCTGCCTCTCTCCCCTAAAAACAAACAAACAGATAAATAAATTAATTTTTTTTATTAACTAAAATATTAATTTATTTATTCTCTATCTATTGATCTATTTATTTCTTTATTTCGTTAGTTTTTTATTTAGATACGCCCAATAGTATACACTTATATTGGGAGAGCCATCATGCAACACCAAGTCTGCTTCTCTCCCCTAAAAACAAACAAAAAAACAAATAAAATATATTTATTTATTTACTTATTTATTTATTTAGTTCTTTATTAGCTATCTATTGATGTATTTATATATTTATATATTTATTTATTTATTTTTTTTTTTTTTTTATATTCATATATTAGGGGAGCCATCATGCAGCACCAAGTCTGCTTCTCTCCCCTAAAACAAAAAAATAAACAAATTATATTTATTTATTTATTTATTTATTTATTTATTTATTTATTTATTTGTTTGTTTATTTATTTATTTGTTTGTTTGTTTATGTATTAGCTATCTATTGATGTATTTATTTATATATTTATTTATTTATATAAATAAATAAATAAATATATAAATAAATACATCAATATATATAATATATATATATATATATAAACATTTATATATATATATATATATATATATATAAACATTTATATATATATATATATATATATGTATATATATATTTATATATAAATATAAATAAACATACCTGTAGTATTTTATTAATTTCTGTTTTACATATATTGGTGGTGATATCTGCTTGTATAGTATCTCTATACACATCTATCTATTCACCTAAATATATATATTTATATAAATAAATATATTTATAAATACAAATATAAATAAATAAATAAATAAATAAATATAAATATACATACCTGTAGTAGTTTATTAATTTCTGTTTTGCATATATTAGTGGTGATATCTGCTTGTATAGTATCTACATAAGTCTATCTATACACCTAAATATATAAATATATAAATAAATGTATTTATAAATACAAATATAAATAAATATATAAATATAAATATAAACATACCTGTAGTAGTTTATTAATTTCTGTTTTACATATATTGGTGGTGATATCTGCTTGTATAGTATCTATATACATCTATCTAAATATATAAATATATAAATATATAAATA